GAAATTAAGAAAAGAATGGGGAAAAGAGTATAACTCGGCCAGTCAACCGCAGTCCGCAAACAATAACATATCGCTGAGAAAGTGAGACCAGTTGCCAGCTTCAAATCAAGGAGGAAGAGGGAGCAGTCGACAACCCTCGGCTTGGTTCACCTCATCTTCACAATGATCAGATTAACTTTTTTCGTCAACAGGCAAAAATATGTGACAACTGCTCAAAATTTTGTCATCTTATCGTTGTCTCGTGTAACTCCTGCCTCCTGTTCTCATACAAAGAAAAAAAATCGTATGCATTACCATTTCCTTCTCTATAAATTATGAGAATACAAATATTAGAAATCTCAAAAAAATTTAGCAACTAATAAGAGAGCTTTGTTTATTTTTATGGTGGTTGACATACTTTCTTGATTTCTTATTTTCAATGTTAGATTTTATTTCTAGAGAGATAATCAAAATGGGGAAAGGGATAAAAATAAATTAAAAGTTTGCATTAATAATTAATATGTTTTCATTTAATCAAAATGAATAAGAAGGTTTTAAAAAAATAACAATTATTGCTCTGTCAAGTTTATATTCAGACATTTTGCTATATAATCTATACTTGTTTTATTTGATAGGTATATACATAAGAAAGAAGTGAATGTTTGATAGCAAAAAATATATAGTCATATCGTTCATTTCTCAAAGTCGATTGATTGTCAAACACTTATTTTCTCTTAGACCATCGTTTATATTTTGTATTGAAAAATATTAATATTTATGTGTGTGCTTGTTTTTTTCTTCATCAAAATGTAACTTATTATTAAGTTTTAGTAAAAAAGAGTATAAAATTTACTTAATCATATTTAATAAATTTGGGTTAAACAAATACAATATATGCCACTCTCTGTTTCCATCTTTATAGTTTGTTTAATAAAAGAAAATTATTACTTAAATGTGTTTTTTTTTTGTTTAAATGTTTCCTAAAAATTAACTTATTTTAATTTTAGTAAGAATGAGTAGAATTATTAAAAGAAGAGAGAGACAACTTCATAAATAGATCAATAAATAGTTTTTTGTTTGTAAAAAAATTGTCCACCTTGGCAACTTGTGCATTCACCGAGTACTTATGTGGTAAGAAATTATTTTTGAATAGCCATAATATTAAGGATAGATAGAAGCTATATCGTCAGTAATTCTATCAAACACAACCATCTATTAATGCCTTCTTACAATCATAAGTGCAACAACACCGTGCTATCTACAACTGACCAATACAGGCTCGTTGCATTTCTATCGAAAGGTTACTACAATCAACTGTTACCGTTCCTAGAAAAAGGGTACAAAATAAGTGATCTCTAGCTCAATCCGATCGATGACTTTATTCCAATAATCATCACCCGAGGGGGTAAAATCGTTGATCCTAAGAGAATTGAAATAAATGATTATGAGTGCTATTGTAAGATGGTCATATCTATTACCAAACACATTACATATCCAAATTAAATGAAATTTTCATCAAAGGAAAACTGGAAATGGGTATGAAAATGAAAAGAGAATAAAGGGGAAAGGGAATCTAAACCTGGAACTGGAAGGCACAGGAGAGGAGAGGAGTATGACATTGATTGCCAGCCTGAAAAGTTGGTCCTACTTCTGCTCCCTTCTTGAAATAATTGCCAAAAGAAGGAGAGAGTAGGGCAGACCACATAAAGAACTGGATCTTTTAACATGGCATGTAACACATTACTAGTACTATATTGATGATGCATTAATCGAAATCGATATGTTATCTATAATTTTCACATATTTCTCGAAATATTAATCTCAAATGCATGAGTTTAAATCCAAATCCAACTGCTTAGTTCGATGGCCAGTTTGTATGGATAAGAAGAGATCGTAGGTGTTGTACACAATGCAATATGTATATAGCAGAAGCAACACACTTACCCTGTTTTCAACTTCCTAACACCAAACCAAATTGGATTAATTCAAAATCTGGGCAAGAATTATTTGTTTGGCTTTGTGGCACTGTAGGAAATCTCAGTATACACAGTGCTCCAGGAAAAATGAAAGAAACAAAAGAATGTGGCATGGTTTTGGGGGCATCCATGCAGCTTTAGTTTTCTGTGTGGGGATTCATGGCATAAAGCAAATCCACTATCTAATCTATCTATCTGCCACATCTGAAGCTGAACCATGCCTGACCTACAAATTGCATAAAATTTACAAAAGAAATGTCATTTCTACATGCATCTCATCTAGTACTGCTACATATATGACCATGGGATTTGTCATTTTGCTCTTGTTTTCTCCCCTTTTGCTTCCAATCAATCTGCTGCTGCTGGCTGGCTGGTGCATGCAGGAGGGCTGGATTAGTGCAGAAAGTGGTTGTTTTGGCTGTATATAGTCAGGGAGAGGGAAGTAATGGAATGGAATGGATTGATCTATCTACCCTTCTCTTATGAACAGCTTCCTTGCAGTACTACTACTACTACTACTGCTGTAGGCAACCTGCAGAAACACCAAATTGGTTGGGAAAGAGATGGGAGGACAGGAGAATCTGGTGGTTAGCTAGTTCCCCCAGTTTTCATATGGAACAAAGGTTGATGATGGTTGGAACTTGTCGATGGCGCAAGTAGTGCGATCTCAGTCGTGTTTTTCAAGAGAGTGAGAGTGATCTTGTAACGAAATATCTTGAATCGCATCTCTTTGGTTGTCATATATATTGTTGAGTAATTGGCATACTGGATGAGACCATTAACTCACAGAAAGACTTGCGTCATATCATCGCTCCTTGATTTAAGTAAGCCTAACTAAGAACATGTATGACTATGACATATATGAGTTTTGAGAGAATAACCTTCTAGTAAAAAATCTGGACTCGCATTCGTTCGATTGTCATATTGTTCATTAACTCGTAGTCGGGATGACACTCACAAAAAACTGGCATCATATCATCGTCGAATATGATAGATGAAGCCTCACAAAAAATGGGTGTCATATCATCGTCGAATATATGATAGAGAATAAAAACCTATCCCTAATAAGTTGCCCCCACGCAGGATCGAACTACGGACCTTCAGTTTACAAGACTGACGCTCTACCACTGAGCTATAGGGGCACTATTCATGTAAGATGATTTGAGATTATCTACTAAAAAAACAATAATATGTGCACAATTATATTCAGCAAGGTAAAAATTATTCATGTAAGATTGAGGCATTGAGCCCCGCAGTTAATATAACTCCTCCACCATGATGATTACTCAATGATTAACCAAGAACCAGAACTTATGAATCCAATTCAATTTGGAAATGTATATTACTGTAAGTGATTCCATGGTGGGCTAGAGCTATTGTGTAACATGAAAAGGCTGCTGCTTTACACATTGTTGTCATAATGGGAATCACTCATTGTATCTGTCCGATTGGGAAATCCACTGTTCATAAAGCCAACCAATTAGCCCAAAGAACCTTTTGGTCTCTTCTCTTTGTAATCAGCATGTTGTTGAGAGGCCTCTTGTTATCACCCTTCACATGCACTTATAGTACTTGCAATTTACATTTTTTTTTTTTTGACAAAAACAGTTACATCCTGGAATACAGCCAGGTCCGGAAATCAAAAGAACGACTCATAGCCGGGTACAAAGAGAGGGCCTTCCTAGCCACCAAATGGGCTACCCTATTGTTACGCCGACCTACAAATCTAACACTAAAACCAGGGTTACCGCCAAAAACTGAATGAGTTCCTCCAACACCGCTCCAAACCGACTATCGCGAGCATCCGCCTGATTAATTTTATCAATGATAACTTTCGCATCCCCTTCAAAGGCTACATCCGCAAAACCGAGCGACTGACACCACAGCACAGCTTCGCGAAGCGTCACCAACTCTACAACGAAGGGATCGTCAAAACACGGGAACTGAACCCCCATTGCCATTAACCAATTTTATTATATGACAAATAAAGAACAACTACGTATTAAATAACGTATCTATGTTGTTGAGTGTATGGGCAGACCGTAAATAAAATGATAGGGTATGTTGGAACTACAAACATCTTTAGTTGTATCTTTAATTTTACAGAAATTAATTACATCAACATTAAAACAAAGAACCTGCCCGGCTGAATGGTGAAGCAAGTGGCACTAGTCTAATAGGTGAGTGGTTCAAAACTCTAATGAGCAATGAGTAATGACCCACATTCCTGAATTTTTTCTGCCCATCCAAGGGGGCTGCAGCCACCCCCCATCTGCCTGAACAGCTCCGCCACTGCCTCTAATCAGACCAAATCGACGCTTGGAACACATTAACCATACTGAATATAAAGCACTTTGGTCCCTGATCCTCATGAATTGAAGAAAAACTGACCGAATTGTCATTTGAACCGGACCGAATGCATTGTTGGTCTAATCATTAACCATAAAATGTCTTTCACTATTGAACCGCGATTCTCATGAGTTTGGTCCGGTCCTGCACACCCCTAAACATCGTCATCATCATAAGTTCATAACCTGAGATATAGCTTCATTGCAATGAAATGCTGTTATATCATTAGGTTAAGTTTCAGAAAACGGAGAATCTTTCATCTTTGCATGGTTTCGCCGTTATCAGTATACGACGACCACATGCAGTCTCCACCGCGCTACTGTACATACATACTGTCGGAAAACCGCATACAGGAAGGAATATGGCAGTAACCCCACGATGAAGCTTTGCTGGGTTGGCAGAGACAAAGGGCCATTCTCTTTTGCTCTTGCCACGAGGAGGAAAGGAAAGCTAACCTCGATGGAGAAAAAGCAGCCATGGTGGCTCCAAGTCCCCAGCGCCTGTCCTTATCAATCTTTCAGTCTCCCCTTTGTGGTTTGCTGCACGTACGTGTTCGTGGTTTGCTGCACTGGCACTGACTGCAAACAGTGGCGTTTTTCGAACCACAACAGTTCCACACCTTTCTTCCCATTTTTCCAACTCATCAATATCTTACCCTTACTTCATTTCGTACTTCATACCACCTCCCGCCTATAAGAAACCTTTTCGCCTGGTTCTTTGCCATAATTAGGGTCGGAGAAAGCAGAGGAAAAGGACTTGAGGGAGAAACAGAGAGAGATGGTTGTGGAGGTAAAACAAGGTGGTGGTGAGAAGAAAGGGCAGGCCAAAAAGAGAGGGTTGTGGAAGCCAGAGGAAGACCTCGTCCTCCGAAACTACGTCGAGGCTCACGGAGAAGGCAACTGGGCTACCGTCTCTGCCAAGTCGGGGCTGAAGCGAGGCGGGAAGAGCTGCAGGCTGAGGTGGAAGAACTACCTGCGGCCGAACATCAAGCGCGGGGAGATGTCGGAGCAGGAGCAGGACCTCATCGTCAGGATGCACAAGCTCGTCGGGAACCGGTAAGGAATCGAAGCGTTTCACTGCACAAATCGATTCGCGTTCTGATTGCGCTTGGCAATGGCAGGTGGTCGCTGATTGCTGGGAGGCTACCGGGGCGGACAGACAACGAGGTGAAGAACTACTGGAACACCCATATGAACAAGGCTCTTGGTCGCGGTGGCAGCAGCAAGAAGAGATCGAACGCCAAGAAATTACCTCGCAGCAACGGTCCCATGGCGATCAATCCTGCAGTAGTGAGCATTGGAGAACAGAGCAACCAAGCTGTTATGGCTGCTGCGGCAGATGCTACGAATGCTTGGATTGAAGCTGCACAGAACATGAACTACTACATTGACACGCCGGTGCCAGCAGCAGCCAACGACATGGCGTTCGTTTCAGATATGGAGCCTTTCATGGCGTACTTCGATCCCTTCCTCTTCTCCCAGACTCTGGAATTCGGCGGAGAGGCACCCTTTGCCATCAACCAAGCATTCATCTAAGAGTAAAGCTGAGAGAATAGTGTGTGTTTCAGTAATGGGGTTCAAAAGGACGAAACCTGGGTTCTCAACTAGTCGAAACAAGTCACCGAAAGCGCCTGAGCTTGTTTTAGTTAGTTGAGAAGTCACTAGTGTTCACAGCCCCAATTTCGAACAACTTTCTACTCGGCCATTTTCGGGCAAATGATGTAATCACAAAGGGGATTAAATAAAATGAAAGCTTATGAGTATGATTACATTATGTACATTGCTCTGTGAAAATACCAGCAAGTATACAAAATTATGGATTTAGAGATTCAACTTCCACAGGAAACACAGGGAAGCAAAACATGATTCTCTGTTTGCATTGGATTACAGAACCTCGTCCTCTAGGGAATAAAGCAAGCTATTCTCGTTCTCGATGGGCAGCGAGGGGGGAGTACCTGGTGGGATGGAAGCGGCACCATTCTCGCCAGCATATATGCAGAGAGCCTCGGCGTCCCTGAGAAAGGGATCCAGTTCAATATGGCCACTCAGCTCGTTGATGAACTTCAACAGTGTGTCGAAATCCATATGCTCCCCCATGATTTTGCCGCGATACCGCTTCAGGATTGCGACGCACAGGTATAAGTGGAGATGCTCGGAGAGATGGTGTGTCCATAGCACCTCCCATAGGGACATTGTTTGCTCGTACTCAAACTCCCTGGGAAACAAGGAGATATGGTGTCAGTGAAAACAATGCATATAAGACTCCGACAAAAAAACACAACCTGTGAAAAACTCACCTCTTGAACTGGATCAGAATCCAGCGGAAGCAGAAGAAGTAATTCAAGCAATCATTTTGCTGGAAGTAGTTGTGCAATGGGGGGTCCAATAATTCTACCAACTGCAACAGGAATTTTAAAAATTAGTATTTGTCACTGGCTTCTTGGCTCGAAGTCGGACGAGTCAAACGAACGAAATTGGTTCAAAGGAGAGGAAGAGAAACACCTTAGAGAGAGCAAACAGTTGAGCATGCATGCCACTTTGGTCACGGTTGAAATTTGGCCCAAGCCGTTCCATCAATTCAACAAAGCACCAAAATGATTCTGATTCATCCTCCGTCACATACAAAATTGGAGACAGTAGATCACTCATGCCCTGGAGAAAAAAGGAAGACCGTTTCAGGGACACTACTGAAATTGAATAACCTTGGAACATCTGCCGCCAGGGGAGAATATTAAAAGTGATCAAAGAAATGAAGAAAAGAAGGTATAGACGGCTAATGAATTGCAAGAGGAAGAAATGCAATACCTGACAGTAGCCAAGATCAAAGTTATAGAATGAATACGTCAATAAAATATCGCGTAGCGTTTTCACATTCGGGTTGCTATCTCCGTCGTAGAAGGGTAGTGATCTATCAGTCCTCACCTTGAAGATGAAAATAACTCCATTAGACAAAATCATTTAAACCGGAATTTATAGCAATCCACCCAGTCTAGAGTCATGCATACCACATCTTTGTCTATAAGTCCTTTCCGTTCCCTAAATTTAGTAAATCTCTTGGCTTGTTCAGGGGAGATACTCTGCAGATGGAAAGAAACACACTGTTATACATAAAGAAAAGGAGAATTTTGGTTGCTTGGACAATACTGTTCACCCTAACTCGGAAACTGCAACCATAGCTATCCAGAGAGAGCAATCAAAAGATGCTTGCATGCCATAACATTGTCCGAACAGATCAACATAGATTAAATATGCAGGTCAGGAGGCAAGAACACCAATCTCTCTTTTCTGTATCCTCTCTGAAGTAATTAACAGACAAGGGCAAGAGAAAAAACATAATAATGCCCAGCCCTTAGTAGAGATGTCACACCAGTCACCAAGGGAAGTGTAGAACCCTCCTATAGTCTAGGCCATAGCTTTTAGGATGGAAACCAAGTAGAAACAAAAGTAGCTAATCAAAACTAACCTGCCACTGTTGCTTTATTGTCATATACTCAGTCCTCTTAGACGACTTGAGATACTCCCTCTCAGCATAAGTTGAGTCATAATCATGATATCCCAGTAAAAATGCCCAAACCTGAAGTCATTATTAGGAAGATCAATTGAAGCCTGTAGTCCATCATTATCTCAGTAACAGAAACGAATTGCAAACATGTCAAAAGGAATAGGAATTTCACCATTATAAAATAAAAATAAAAAAACATGTCAAAAGGAATAGACCTCTTTCCGTATTGCGTGCTCCACTCCTCCATAAAATATCCTCTTTCTTAAATCTTTTGAATCAGTGATTCGCCCTTCTGAGTCTAAGAAAGTGGCCCACTGCAAATGCAGCCAAACATGAGGAAAAATAAACATAACTTACATACACTTTTATCCTTAAATGAATATATGTAAAGCTCGATTTTAACAGTGATCCTCATCATGGAAAGGCCAACTGATAATAGTAACAAATCCAGGGACTGTGGCATAAGCACACAGCTGTAAGGCCTATGTGATCGATACAATGGTAGACTATGTAAACGGGAAGATAAGATAATGGCTACAAACGACGATGCAAGACTAGTATGGGCTAATTAACTATTCTGTGATATCATGTCTTATAACAGTGTTCCAGAATCAGTGTCCAATCCAAGACGACGGAATATATACCAATTAACACCACAAAAAGAGTGGAGATGTCAACAATTGATTGAACAGTAAATGCCCTTAACAAATCAGACTCCACAAAGTTGCTAAACCAGAAGGGACAGAAGCACAAAGTAGATAAAAACTGAACAAGAAAACGTGAGCAATAATTCGTTCCAATGGCATTTACCTCCATTGACCCTAAAGGAGACTGTCGCGGCTTCCCCCAAACAAGTGCCAGCTTATCAAACTGCGAAATAGGTTGGAGAGAATACATTTAACCAATACGCTAGAATGGAAAAAGCTGCTTTGTCTCATTAGCAAAACAGAAAATAAAGAACGGACAGCTGCAGGAGAGATGACAAGCGATAAAATACGATGAGTTTTATGCACTAATGCAAGTATAATACGAGCGTATATTCCTGAAACAATAGTGCACAGATTTTTGCAACTGTGTTTTCTCAACACAATGTCAAATAAAATCAGGTTTCTGAAGAATTCTAAAAGAATCAGAGGACGGTGGGGCATAAAAGACAAAAGATTACCTCTAGAGGATCTGAAGGTACATGAATTTCTTCAGGGACCTTCTTTTCTGGTTCTTCCTGGTAAGGGGCATCAGGCCGAGGGCGAGAAATGCCATAACTTTTTGTCTCGAGAGCACTAAAACCGTTGCTATTTTCACGGAATAGTTGTGTTGTTGTGTCTCGAGCAAATTTGGTCACGAGAGAGAACTTTTCGAGAACATGAATAGAAAGATCACGGCCGGGATCATGAGCTTTCTGCCTATTCCTTGAGATGCTTTGAGAAAGAACTTCACTAGTTTTACCGCCATCTGTGAAGGCTGTCAAATGACTACCCGAAGCAGGTGTACTTGGTGCACTTCCAATGGAAACAGCCCCTGGCATCTCCAAGGAGGACAATGTTCTCTGTAATGGGAGTGGGGGAACCGTGAATCGTAGGACTAAAAGATAAAGGAAACACTCAAGAACTCTATCATCAAAAAGACCAAAGGCACATTTCCACACCAACAAAAACAGGTAATGGAAACGTGAAACAACTAACTTTAAATGAACTCATCAAAACAACAAAGCAACATTTGCAGCTATTCGCTGCTAAAGAAATACACCACAATTCACAACAGATATTCAGACTATGGCCACTATTTTTTATGAATAACGATATAATAAATCAGTAGGTAGAGACCTGCAGAGGATTCTGAAAATCATTCACAAGGAATACATTTGCATCTTCCAACGACCTGAAAACAAAATGAACACACAACAGAATCAAGAATAAGTCATTTATAATTACTGATTTGCTCGCGATGGTAAATATTGATTACTGATATGGTTGCGATGGTAAGTAAATCAATCCTCCCCCCAAATTGACAGTAACATTCATATGGTTGCGATGGTTAGACAACGGTCATATTTATTTCCTACATGATGAAGAAACTTCTGTAGTTTGGAGCCGAAAAATTAGAGTATGCATATAGTTCATAACAACAGAAATTTCCGAAGTGTCGGAATGCATCACAGGTCTTTTTAGCGCATCAACATTTTACCTAACACCAATTGCATAAAAGCAAGAAGTAGTTCCATTGTATCAATAACAGACCTGACAATCAAAACATGTTGCTTCAATGTAGTGAAGAACTCCTTCACTCCTCCATTGTAGAAGTAAAGAGGAGGGAATGCAAGTCCTGCACAACATGAAAACAGAATTACAAACTATTGCTTCGTTACACCTTAAACCCCACAAGGACCGAATAACAAGTGCAGCAGTTCAACATTAAACTCACTAAACAGACATAAACCGTTAAACTACAAATCAACAATTCTACAACAGGAATAAACTGGCACATGACTCTATTAGGCATAAATCTTCAAATCGACAATCTCCAATAACTAGAGAAGCACAAATCAAACTGAGTCTTTTCTAGAAAGCACTTGTATCTCCTACCTGAAGACATAACAATAATTATGTACTGCCACCCAAGAGTTGGTGTATGTCGACGAATTGAGCGCACGTCCGAGAAAGGCACAGCCCTGAGTGTGTAAAGGTTCCTATCTACAGAAGTAAGCCGAACAAAAATTACACATCAGCAGCACAAGGGTGTGATTCATGAATTGAACTCAGAAGACATGCTAGTTAAACCTTTCTCAGAAAGCCTGGCATTGGAGCTTTGCCCTTTGTAAGGTATCCATGTCTGTCATCCAAACAAAAACAGAAACAGCTTTATAATCACGCAGTCAACAGAAGTACAAGCAAAACCTCATGAATCACAAACTTCCACACAAAAAAAAAGGGTTTTGTTACCATAAACACTGAATGGCCTTGCTTAGCCAGCTTCAACCTTCCACTGATCCTCTCGGAAGCGAACTGCGTCGGGTGAATCGCGACATTATCCTTGGAATAGATCAGTTCAGCACCTTCCGTCTCGCTGGAAAGGCTCCTATTCCCGCTCTCGCTTCTCGTCAGCATGACGCTCGCTGATGCCTATCACCAAATCCAAGTCAAACCAAGCGAATAAAAAACCTAAACAAGTACCAATTGGAGTTCAACCAATCTCTTAAAAACGACTAGCCGTGCTCTATACTCTAGTGCTCCCAATTCATAGCTCCGATCGAATTCGCAGGAAGATTTTCAATTTGAAAGGACAATTGAACAGAGACGGACAGGTGATGGAGATGGGATTCAGGGGCTTACTTGCTCGATCGAGGCAGCGTAATCGGCGTCGTCGGACAAATCGTGGAGGTCGGTCTCGTGCATGGCTAGGGATTTGGAGGGAAATGAGTCGTTAAGAGGAATTGGGATTTTGCTTAGGGAAGAAGGAAAAGGGATTGGCGGGGAAGAAGAAGAGAGGGAGTAGTTTCTGGACGAATGGGAAAGAGGAAGAAAGAAGGAACGGGGACTTTCAGGTTGGCCCGCGTATTGACGTGATTGGGACGTGGTGGAGACGCAGATTCCGGGTTTGGTCGGTACCAAGTTTCGGGTTACATATATGGTTGTAAAACCGGTTTGCGTCGGTTTAACAAGTGAAATGGTACTATTGGTAGTATAACCAAATTTGTGCCGTTCATGATGGTTTCCAAATACGTATAAATGTGAAAATCTATTAACAACAAAGATCAAACGAATTAAATCATATATAAAACAATATTTGAAGACAATTTACTTATAATTCATATTCATATTTAAATAAAATACGACTTTCAATTAAAATAACAAATACTCATATTTAAATACAGTGGTATCGTCTGCTTGTGGAATTTGGGTGGTGAATTTGATACTCAAATCTCAAGCATCTTATATTTTACCCAAAACATTGTTTGTTAACGTATAAAAATCCATGGACCTCATGTACTTGCAAATACCACATTTCATTTTGGTATTTGATTTTGGAAGGTAAAAGTTTGGGACTCATGGTACAAAAAACCTCCAAATCCACGATAAAAAAACTTTAAACAAATAATGATTTCTTTAAAATACATAATGCAACAAGTCTATTGTAAATCCAAAGGTTTCTAAAACTCAAACCCTTCATTTTCAAATCCAACAAACAAACGATGCCAACATTTAACGTCAATATTTAAGCAATAGTGATGACAATTTGAACCCGGCCAACGGGTATTAACCGACCTGACCCACGATTGGGCATGTATTACCCGATCCGCAATATCGTGAGGCGGGACATGGGTATCTACTTCGGACCCGCCCTGCCTGGTTATAGGCTCATTTTATCTCAAATTTTTATATTATCTATACATATTTCTCCTCTTTTGACTTTTCTTCAACAAATTAGAGTCAATCTTTCAACTTGTTATGCTCAAATATCCATTATATTATCGTTAATTTTCATTCATAAAGTGTTTCTCCTTCGTTTTAATCGTAAGGAGTAAAATTTTCGTGTATTTTTTTAAATAACATGTAAGAGTGGGTCAACCCGCCCCGCCCCGTACCCGATCGGGATTTACCGGCCCCGACCCGTAGTAGCGCGGACGGAGTATTGGTATTGAGGTACACGCCCCTCCCCATTACCATCACTATTAAGCAGTGATACTTGAATCCAATAAATTATATCAATATTCAACTTTTACTCACAACATAAATAATAAATTAATTTTATTATTTATTAAACTCACTAAAATGACGTCATTTTGTCTAGAGGTCATAAATTGATCATGCCAATCATGCCAGTAATATTCATGTCGGTTTCATGATCGTCATTTTATTATTCATGCCAGTAATTTTCATGCCAATCATGCCAGAAATTTTATTATTTATTAAACTCACTAAAATGACGTCATTTTGTCTAGAGGTCATAAATTGATCATGCCAATCATGCCAGTAATATTCATGTCGGTTTCATGATCGAAACCGATTGAAATAGGTTCAACCCGTCAATATCCCACCGACGTGACAACCATACTTGCCTCCTGTCGGATGTGGTTTGGATAGAAAGTGGTTCGGTTTGGTTTGCTCAATTAGATTAGAAGTATGTTGACCGTAAGAAGAAATTCTAGTCGAACTAGGAATTTGGAACGGAACATTTTTTATATGATATTGTCTTCATAGTTGTTTTAGAATGGTTTTTTGTTATTCTAGTTCTAGGCATGAAAGGGGTATTAGTGCACAATAAAAAAGCATTAGTAATAAACTAATAATAATCATATCTAAAAATGGAACATATATCAGAGCATTCGTTAACTTCAAGGCTACCTAACATCCCTTATTGATGCGTTAGGATCGAGAACCCAAAATGACATTTATCGACGGGTTTACAATGAGATATCAGTTTCCATTGAATGAGGTGCAAACTCAAGTGGTCGTATAGTTTGAACAAACTGACAGTGAATTCTATTAAAGATGATTAACGTGGGCCAAAGGTCACATAGCCTGGTGGTAAGGGAGGCGGATTGGTGACCGTGAGGTCTCATGTTCGATCCTCACCGTCATCATGGTGTTCCCGGAGGCATCCCGCTATCATCCGGACCGCCGATGGAGGTCCCGGGGTTTAGCCCGACTACGGCAACACCAAAGGTGGTGAACGTGGAGGATGAGACCTTGAAAATGAGAAGGAAACAAGTAGAGTGATAAAGATAACACCAAATAGAAAAAAGGCAAGCTTTATGGACGGAGAGTCATAATCAAGTCATCGCAAGTTATTTCCGAATAGGGTTTAATTTAATTGATTTGAACTATCTCCCGTGTCTCGTTCCCTCGCTCTCTTTCCCTCAATTTGCAATGGGAAAAAAAGTATGTAATAAAGAAAAAAAGCTTATTGAGAATAAGTCTCACCACCTTGCATCTTCAAGCCACCTCGTATACCTAATCTCTTGCTAATTTCCATTCTCCTTCCTCTCTCTCTCTCACGCATTTCAATTGAAAAATGGAAAATATATATTTCGAGAGCATAAAATTGAGAAAACTGGTAAAGAAGTTAGTAGCATAATTAGAAAATTTCTATCTTGTCGGTCTATTCAAAAAACGTTTACAATTACTACCAATTGCTCTTGCGATCCATTATATCATTATTAAATTGCAAGATTCAAAACCCAATTAACAAAAGCAAGATGGAGTAGATTTATAAATATTTTTAGAAATTTTATGGTGAAAAAAAAATTTAAAGAATCAAACATTTTATGAAAACAAATCTTCTATCTATAATAAAATATATAAAGGACTTTGAGATTTTGACCTCCTCCACGTAAGCGCTTCTGAAAATCTAACCTATCCACGTCAGCCTAAAACCGTTGTGCCCAAAGTTGCCTCTGATTCTCTCTCCATCATCCGTCTGTTTAAAAATCCGTCTTTTTCCACCGTACGCCTCCACGTTTTCCTCTCACCGACTGTTGTTCTTCCCAAATCTGCAAAACTTTTCATCTCCACCGGTACCAGCAGCGAAAATATGTGGAACCTGAAACTACTGCCTTCGCTGCAATGAATCACCGTCAATGTCAATGTCAATGTCAATGTCAATGATACCCACTTGACCGATGCGATTTCATCTGACAGTCAATTCCTTCGATTTCAACCATACTCTGTCTTGATTAATCCGAAGATTTGATAGTTTGGAGGGGAATCGTATTGGATTCGGCACATCTGCGTGACTTGAAAAGAGGCAACCGGTTGGCATATCTACGGGGAATCGTACTGGATTCCCTCTTCAATCTCAGTGGTTGCGTTGTATGGGTGTTACGGTCTCTGCTAATAGTCGGTTTGACGGTTTGTCATATGAATTTCCCTTTTCCATCTTTTTTTATTTATGCTCTTCGTCCAATTGGCCGGACAGAATCCTCCCTCACAAATGCATAGCTCCGATTTCAAATTGCAAGTCATTAGGTTTATTCTGAATTATGTGGCCGCTGAAAATTCTCTTCATTTTAATGTTAGTCCTTCAATTCGAATAAAACTCTTGGGATATTGTCTTATTTCTGAATGTTTGCAGGATAGTGTTCGGATTTTGATTATTCCAATTTGTTGCGGTTTCATTTTTGGTGTTGAGAATTTGTGGGATGGGTTTTCTTCTTGCCGTGATGTTTTCGTATAACATGGAGATTCTGGGTTCCTTTTTTATTTTGTTGCTTCTCTTTTTCGGGTTCGCTTCTCCTACTTCATTGCTGCTCCATATTCGTTGCTCACAATCCCGGATAAAACAAGACTGTATTGACTGCATTGTGAAGCAGAAGTCAGAACCCTTCCCTCTAGCAATTAACTGAAGTATTCCGAGAAAGAGATCAAGTTATTGTCTATTTGCTTCCCTTCTTCTTTGATACAATGGTTTACATGGAATATTTTTAAAGAGGTTGCAGAGCATAGCAATGGGGAATAAATATAAGTTCTAATAGAATATTGGTTCCTTAGAAACTATTTTTAAGTACAGAACGATACATCAAATATAACTTGAGAATATGCATGGAAGCCATTGTAATGGCTAATTACATACTGCTACTTTTTAGCAAGAATACCAAAAGAAGAGGAAATTGTTACCGACTTATTAGATTTCAAGGGGATAAACTCCATGTTCAGTTGCCAATTTACAGTTTGCAGGTTAGAAATTACTTGAAATTCCGGGTAAAACCGCAACAACTGAACTACTTCAGAAAAGAAAGCAATGAATGATCCAAAGAAAAATCTTTATTCATGCTGCATAAATTATGCATGAAATTATGTTCAATGCATGAAATTTGTTTGGCATGAAGAAAACAGCACAATAGGTACCAGGAAACCCCAACCTACAACGAACCCTTCCAACGCCACAACAAAATAAAACTAACCAGTGGACTAACACCAGATACTCTAAAATGGGCAAGACATTAACACAACCTTTTGCACGTGACACCTTGAATTAGAAGAAGCGCAAGCGTACTTTGATTCAACCTGATCCAAGATGATACTATCATCACTTGCCATGATAGGCTATGATGCCACTAACAACCAAACATCTCCAATTGATGCTATGTTTATGTTTTACATATATCAACTTTACGTATATTTTCATGTAAATGAATACAACTGCTTTCATGAATACAACTACACACCACAATGCACGATAAAATATTAGTCATTTGACCCGGCCAAAGGCCGGGCATATAACTAGTCCGTGATAAACAAGGAAATGGAAGTGCCCCCCGGAAAAAGGCCAAACATGATTTACGTGAACCTTTTCTCAAATTTGGACCCAGTTCGGCAGCCCAAACAATCCAGTGGGCCAACATTCTTGGGGCCCAGCATCACCCGCTCGTCGCCACGTGTACTCATTTTAGGGTTTTGGCGGTTCTGGCCAATTGCCCGCCCGAATAAACGCACGACTCTCTGTGTCTGAACTCTCTTTTACTTTTCCCCTCCTACTGAAAAAAGCCGTTGCCACCTCTCTGCCCTCTCATTGCGCGCCCACTACAACTTTCACCGAACCAGAAACCCAACCCGCGGAGGACCGGAGCATGGATTCGAACGAGAAGCTGCCTTTCTTCTTCCGGTCGACGACCTCCGCCGCCGAGCGCAAGCAGCACATTGGCGACTCCGCGGCCATGAGCCGGAAAGGAGTCGTCGCCGCAACTTCTTACATGGCCACTGCAGGTTTTCATTTTCTTCCTCCGCTTTTCCGATCTCGCGATGTTATAGCTTTGGATTCTCTCTCTTTCCCGTGAAATTTTTCGCGGAAAATCGGGCGCCGGTAATTTTTATTGTTGATTGGGGAAGTGTCCGTACGTAGCTTATTATTTTGAAAATTTTCGTTTTCGTTTTCAATTTCATGGAGTGGTGGTTAGGTTTCTTTGATTTCGATTCAATGATTCTGTTAGGAAGCAAAGATCATTAGACGAGAAATTGTGAATTTCCGGTGGTTATTCGATTTCAGAGTTCAGATTAGCGGCAATGGTGTTGATGGAAATTAGGAGACGCCATGTGTGGAGATTTTGGTGTTTGACAATGAATAGGGGAAGGAAAGGAACAACACGGTGGTGCTGTGGAAAAAGCTTATTTGGATTGGGAGTATTTTATTGGTCAGCGGAAAGCACTGATTTAAAATAATTGAGGGCAATGAGATAATGCGGTAGGCCTAAAAGGTTACAAGAGGAATATACATCTTTGCTTTGTGGCCAGTATTCTCTTTTATGGTATGGGCACACTTGATCATAGAGTCATTCCACGTGATTCAACTAGTGGTTGATGAATTTGACTATCTAGCTCAATGGATCGGTCGATCGATTTGTTAATTCGTGTGGGACCCGAGAAAAATGAGTGATTGTGGTGCGTTCGAGTTCGTGTTTCCCAGTTGTTCGATAGAAATGTTCGCGATTGAGGAAGCCAAGCTGGATTGCTGGTTAAGTAGTTAATCCTCCAATAGATGGTCATAACCTTGAACAGTTAGCATTCTGTGCCAATCTAGTGTTTCGTACTACCTTTTGTCTCTGAGTCAGGATTATACCTATCTATGGTGGAAGCTGCAGCAAGTTCTCCCCACCTTCTTTGAACCTTTATGCAATTATGCTTGGGATCAAAAGGGTGAGAGGCCGAGAATCATGCTTCTGTTATGTTTGTGAATGTCTAATGTCTTCAAGTTCTTCCCCGCCACTGTCCACTGGATTTCAAATGGTCTACATTTTGTTAATCTATGACCTGCAGAACTGTTTCGTAGCTGCTTATAATGCTCCCTGGGGGGAATCAATTAACCAACTTTGGTTACTTGTTCTGTACAAAGCAAATAGTGAAGCAATGTTTTGTTCCGCATGGTGCAGTTCTCCTTTTTATGTTCAACAAAGCAGCTCTTTCTACCTACGGCTTCCCTTATGCAAACGTGATCACCCTTTTTCAGGTATAACATTTTGCAACACGGTTTATTGTCAGTACATCAAGTATTCATGAATGTGGAAGTTCACCAATTACATGGAATTTGGGCCATTGTTCATTGTGTGGGTAATCCAGTTTTGTCTTGCTATCTTCCTCCTGTACGTTTATTTCAGATGATATGCTCGTGCATTTTTCTCTATGCAATGAAGTACTGGAAGGTTATTTCTTTTACCGCTACTGAAGTGTCAAGCTCGACTGTTAACCCTGCAGCCTTTGTACCCCTGAAGACGTTGGCTCACACTACTCCTCTAGCATTTTCCTACTTGCTTTACATGGTACTTAAATTTGATTGAAAATGTAAGCTCGCTTAGTTTCCTTTTCCATAGCTTGGAATCATCCTTGTGATTTCCTCTAACTCTTCTTCTTTTCTGTTCTGGTATAAGCTGGTTACCATGGAATCTGTGCGTGGCATCAACGTACCTATGTATACCACCCTCAGAAGGACAACAGTGGCCTTCACAATGGTAGTGGAGTATCTTCTGACAGGGAAGAAACATTCTTTGCCTGTTCTTGGCAGGTGTGCAAATCCTTTAGCTTTTTTTTTTTTTTTTTAATGTTTTATGAGGCGGTTTCATCATTATCATATGTGTTTGCTCTAAAACCCGTCATATGTGGCATTCAATCACATGTTAGACCTTTCAATTCTCTGCCTCATTTGGTAGCGTAAAATGGGCTCTTAGCTTAGAGTTTTAGGAATTTGCTAATACCTTTTTCAATTAACAAGAGCAAGGATTTCGCCAGTGTGGGGATAATCATACTTGGAGCATTCGTTGCTGGAGCTCGTGACTTGTCATTTGATGCCTACAGCTATTGCGTCGTCTTCGTTGCAAATATCTGCACAGCAATCTATCTTGCTTCTATTGCTCGGATCGGTACATAGTAGTTTTTGCCTTCTCTCCTCACCTTCACTTCTACCATTCCGCTAATTCGAACCCCCCTCTTTTCTTTCAGGAAAATCTAGTGGCCTCAATAGCTTTGGCCTCATGTGGTGCAATGGTGAGAACTGAGAAAAATAATGATCAGCATACCAATGTCTTTTTCTTTCCCTTCATGCGTAATGTGGATTGCCCTGCTGTTCTGTAGGAGTTATATGTTTGCCAGCATTGCTAGTCTGGACATCAGTGAGCGGAGATTTGGGATCACTAAGGAGCTTTCCCTATCTATTATTTCCAGGATTTCAGGTCCTTCCTTGCCTGCTGTCTTAGACTCTATTCTCCTCTGTCTAATGTCTTTGCAGTTTTGAACTTTGCATACTGGAAAAATTGTGTCGTTAGTTTTGTGGTTGTGCTGTTCTTTCTGCAGGCGGTGATGTTGCTTTCCTGTATCCTGGCTTTCCTGATTAACTACTTCGTGTTCTTGAACACAGCAGTTAATTCGGCAGTGACACAATCAATCTGCGGAAATTTGAAGGTACAGTGCTGCCCCTTAGTGACAGAACACATAAAGCCATAGAAACGTCAAACGTCTTCTGTAGTAATAACTGTTTCGTTAGTTTCAAAATCCATATCTAGGGTATGATGAATGTTCTGATAACCACATTGTTATTAGGCCAGCTCGTTACATTTCATAGCTATTACGCGGTAAACTGTTCGAGTTTGGTTAAAAATAGGTTGGCTGAACTAGACGGTAGAACATCGAAGGTTGAGTTATGATGAATTACGGGTTATATAGCTCGATTTATATGAGTTGTGGTAATTACTGTTTGACAGGATCTTTTCACTATCGGACTGGGATGGATGTTGTTCGGCGGCCTTCCCTTTGATTTGGTAAAAAACCATTAACCACCTCCACCCTCCCCATCTGTACATTTTTTTTTACCTTTACCATATGATGATATTTACGCATGAAATCCGATGCCATATCTGAAAACAGTGGATACATTTTGCAGATGAATATCTTGGGACAGTTTATGGGTTTCCTTGGATCGTGTTTGTACGCCTACTGTAAACTCCAGGGTAAATAACGCACCGCTGCCCCTGAAGATTTACTGCAGAGGTAAAATTATCTCAAACTAGATGGGTGAAATATGAAAGGTTTCTTACAAACTGTTTGTGTAATTTTTTGTGGAGCTTAAAACTGTAGAGAGTGAAGTGTAACGAAGAAACAGGACTTGTTGAGGCTGCTCCTTAATTTATTAAATTATTTAAGCTAATACTGTTGGCACTGAAGATCAAAAGTGTATAGAACTACAGGTTTAGATTTTGGCGGGAAATGAGCTCTGGTAAGCTTTCTAGTTTCTGGTCTACGTGGTGGATGGGCTCATTAGTTATTTACCAGCTTCCAGATCTGGGCTTGGCCCTGAGTTAAACACGGGGCGGAGTTAAACACGGGGCGGAGTTGGGCCTGTGATGGACTTAAATAGTGCCACTGGGCTTCAAAGTTAAAATACTGCACAATTCACCGCAGCTCTTGGATATATTTTTTTTTTTTGACGTAACACCTCTTGGATTAATCCAATGATTAAAATTAAATGTTACTTTTTACTTTTTATTTTTCTTAATTGGCTTGTATCATTCTCATTTCAATTTCAAATTTTTTTTTTTGCAGAGGTAATAAAGTATATTAATTATGATCCACAAAAAGAAATCCATTTTTATATATTTTGAGAATAAATATGCAATAGAAATACTATTGACACAAATATTGAGTTGTGGAATTTTACAATGCTATGTAGCTTTGGTGCTATAGGTTTTTTCTTTTATGGCACAACTTGAAGTTGTACCTTTAACGTTATGGTACAACTTCATATTGTACCTATACTCTTTTGTCAAATTGTTTTATGGTACAACTTGAACTTGTACTTTCATTTGATGGTACAAGTTTAAGTTATAAAGTTGTACCATAACATAAGAGCACAAATTCCTTTATGGTACAACCTGAACTTATACATCTAACGTTATGGTACAACTTTAAGTTGTACATTAAAGCACCAATACTTTATAGCATAGTAGAAGTGCTTTTGAATTTTCGGGTCAAACGGCTTGTCATGCATAGAAAAAAAAAAACAAGTCCATTCTCGTGCATTTTTAGGGCAATACTATTGTTATTGTATCATTTTTTCCATTGTAATTAGCCCAATGTTCTCTCAATTGAATCACAACTATACAATAGCATTTGACTAATTCGTCGAATACGACTTCCAGTGGATTTCACGATCTAAGTTGTAACATACGGGTTTCTACTCAAACTTTTGGGGTTGCCACAAAAACTTGAGATTCGAGTGGTGTGAAATGTGAAACCATGGCATGCATCTCTCTGTCTACCGCGTTTAAATTTCATCATAAAATTTCACGTACGTACGACTTTTCGTCAGGTTGGTGGGAGTGGAAGGTTCTTGAGTAGAGCTGCTAGTGCTAGCTATGTAGCTTAGGTAACCGCATCATTTCCCCTGTTCCAAGAAGGGAACACCGGAATGCCTTTTTTCTCGTATCCGCTTGTCGCCATGGGAAACATGTCCCCGATAACTCCTACTTACGATCGAGAGATGTCTCAAAATATGTCATAGTGGTGGAGACGAATCTGCCTGTATTTACGGGCAACGTAGAACCAAGCGAAACAAAGAGTAGGTACGTAGGTAGTTACAAAGAGAGAGAGAGAGAGGAAATAGAAAGTACTACTGAAGCCAGCCGAAACTGGAGTTCGTGGAGAAAGAGTCAGAGTCAGAGTCTGAGAGAGGAAATCAAGCGGGAGGAAGAGAGGGGTTTCGGGTTTCCTGTCTGCTGCATGCAGAAACTGACAAAAGGGTGTTATTAGGGTTTTGCTTTTTGCCATGCATCATTGGGGGACAAGACAATACTTAATGTACGTGTATAATTGTGTTTCAGTTTCGTTTTCTCGAATCTTGACCCTTATTTTCCTGCTGAAAACTCCATGAGAAGATCGGCAGAGACTCACCAAATTATGCATGCAAGTTGGGAAACTCTTTCTAGCTCCCTTTCTTTCCTTTCGAACGCCTTATTCTGTTTCCAAAATGAAAATGACCCATACGAGTAGTGATGGCAATGGGGCGGCCGGGGCGGCGGGTACCTCAATTCTCATGTCCTGCCCCACGTAATTTCGGGTCGGGGTGGGTCGATCCACTCTTACATGTTGTTCGGAAAAAAACACGTAAATTTTACCTTTTTACTATAAAACAAAGGAAAAAACACTTTATGAATGAGAAATGGTGATAATAGAATGGGTAATTGAGTCTATAATAAGTTGAAAGATCGACTCTAACTAGTTGAAAAAAGTCAAAATAGGAGAAATATGTATAGATATTGTAAGAAATTGAGATGAAATGAATTTAAAACAGGGCGGGACGGGACAAGGAGAATAAGAAAGTAGATACTCATGTCTGATGTCCCATCTCACGCTACTGCGGGTCGGTAATATCCGTCTCATCGCAGATCAAGTCGGATAATACCCGCGAAATGGGTTGAAATTGCCATCACTACATATGAGTAAAATGTGACGGATGTTATCATCCAACTCTATACATGAACCAACTCTCAGTTGAGTCAAATTTCAAACGCCATTGTAGATATCGAGGAGAGGGGGGACACAGGAAAGCAGCAAACAAATTGATGAGAATTCCATTGATGTGATGAAAGGAAAGGTGGGAAGGTTTGGAAAAGCATGTTTGCTTTCGTGATTAAAGAGAAGAAGGTCGAATGCAGGAACCAAGAAAAGGGAAGATCGGAGAGACCGACATGAATGACCGTATGTCATCCATGAAACCCTAAAAGGAATATTTCAAAATCAAATACTAATTCATTAAATTCGTAAATTCTATACTACTGCCCTTAGCGAACTTTTGGGTACCGTATGTTACATCTGAAATGATTTCGTGCAATTTTGAATGTATTTCGAAGAATGATTGTGTCGTCTCCTTAAACGATAGAATTTGACTATGATGCTTAACTTTCTCTTGGTGCATGTAAGAATGTGTTTATATCGTTCAGCTCGTGTGTATTCTGACTATTGACATCTTTTACATGCTTAAGGGTAATTGTCTACAAAATTATCATCAAATGCGCAATAACTAATCGCAAACTGTTTTATTCAACAATGTAAGCACGCAGTATATATTGTCATAAACCAACCCGCGGTATCAATAATTCGAATTGTTGGGTAAAGAATTAGGTTATACATAGAATGATCAATAGTTTTAAGAATCCTCGACCAACTCCAACTCATCTTTTTTGACCGCGAGAAAAGGCCATTAATACTGATCATTCTATCTTTAGAACACTGTTCATTCTAAACCCCTTCTCTCTGCATTCATGCGGGACACACTTTGAACTTTGAAGTATGTAGTTTTCTATTTTTTTCCCCCCCACTCTGCATGCTTATGAAAAGGGGAATGTGTAAAAGGAAGAAGAACACTACACAGATCGATCATTTTCATCACACAAACAGATAAAGGAAACGCAGGCCATCGATCTGTCGGCTTTGTGAGCAAGTAAAGGCAGGCAGAACCCCAGTTCGGCCTGATGAGCAGTGAGCAATAATCAATGGCGATGGGGGCAGCCCAAAAAGCCAGAATTGAGGAAGTTTTTAGCTTTTGACCTGAGCCCCATGGGTCTATAGCCATTTCTCGAGGAGGAAGAAGAAGAAAGCAGCTGGAAGAGTGGAGAGATTAATTAATTTAACAGAAAATTAAAGGGATGAGTTAGCTAGAGTGAAGAAAGGTTCCTAGGATCTGATGAGGAGGGAAAGAAAGGTGAGAAAATGGGTTTAGGTTAGGAGGAGGCGTGAGGGAATCTGGTAAGTGGGGGCACGCCAACTTATCGCCATAAAATCATGAGTGGTGCTCTTGAAGAGACACAAAATAATGGACCATAATTACTATTATTGGAGCTTTTTTATATAACCTTAATTCTATTTTTTTTTTATAAAGGATGTGATTCATTACTCTCAAATGGTTTTTTTTTTTTTATAATCAGAGATTATCGAATGTTGACATGTTACCAAAGGTAAGATAGTCTAATGGTAAGCTGCCGCGACAGTGAATGTTTGAGAGTTGCAGATCCTAGGTTCGAATTCAAGCGAGGCTCGTTGGTGTTTTCGGAGGTATAAGGTTGCTCGCACGAAGTCCCGTTGGCGTCGAATTGAATGCAGGTGGCCCCCAGATTTAGTAGAACTCGTTGTCGCAAAATGGCACGTGGGGCTGATGTTCCTGTGTAATAAAAAAAAATGTTGACATGAAGTTCGAATCCAACTTAATTGGATGTTATCGTTGTATTTGGTGACGTAGTTAGGATTTTATATAAATAGAGTATGATCAGGTCAGGAGAAGGGATACGTCCACCAATTAATGATTGGTATAGTGAATAATGCGAGGAACTTTGATGGTGGGTTTCGATGGAAGGATGAGTTTTATCGAGGTTATCGAATGAGTCTTGATGCGTTTTACTCGATAAAATGATAATTAGAAAATAGAGTTCATATGAGTCATAACTCGTAACTAAGTTTCATGGGCTCACTGGCTAGGGTTTCACTCAACGACAGGTTTTACTACACACTCGAGTATGAAGATTCATCTGCGAACTCCAATCCTATAAGTTGGATTTACGTCTAAAGTGGCGTATAAAATAGTGATAAAGGATTCTTTTGATATCAAGAAAAATGTTTCCATATGACCAAATGTGTGGCGGGGAAAGTAGAGTTGAAAGGAAGGGAGGGAATAATCAATGAGAGTGAGTGATTGAGTGAAACCCTAGCTAGGTAGTGAGCCCATGAAATGGGAAGGGCAAAAAGCGATTGAAGAAAAAGAGAGATAGTTGGAGTATGGAGAAAGGAAAGAGCAGTCGTAGAAGAAGAAGAAAGGAAGAAAGAAAGAGAGCAAAAACCAAGAAGATTGTCCCCTAGAGGAGGCCCAAGGCAGGGCTCCTTTGGCGCCGGTGTCTCCGCTTTGTTTGCCCTCTCTTTTTCCCCCATTAATTATGGCTTCTCGTTTTTTTGCTTATATTAACAAACACACAAACAAATTAACTAGCAAAAGGGGGGGAAAAGAATCTGGCTTTTTGTTGTACCTACTAAGTACTAGTGGTATGACATTAGTCCTGACAATTTTGCTCCATATGTTTTATCTGACTTATTTGACCTATTTGTTTGAGGTGAGTAACATTTGTTTTGTAGACAGGACGATCATGAGTACTCTCAACGATCTCACCGCCCCGCATTATCCTATTTTTTACCCATTTTTGTTCAAATTGTGAAGTTCTAAAAAGATGATAATCTCAATTAGGCTACTTAAGATTTTACTTCTTGATTTTTAATAAAAGGATTTGTATGAATCGACCTGTTCCAACGGAACTATCAACGAACCAACCTGAATC